CGGGTCGCGGGTGTGTGTATGTATGTTCCCATTCACCGCTTAGGTATGTATAGATGTGTATGTGTGTATGTGTGTATGTGTGTATGTATGTATGTATGCATGCATGCATGCATGTATGTATTTATGTATGTAGGTAGGTAGGGATGTAGGTAGGTAGGCAGGCGGGCAGGCAGACATGCAGGCAGGCAGGCAGGTAGGTAGGGATGCAGTTATGTATGTATGTGTATGTATGTATGTATGTATGTATGTATGCATGCATGCATGCATGCATGCATGTATGTATGTATGTATGTATGTATGTATGTATGTATGCGTGTGCATGTGTGCATGTATGCATGCATGTATGCATGTATGCATATATGCATGTATGCATGTCTGCGTGTATGCATGCATGTATGTATGTATGTATGCATGCATGTATGTATGTATGTATGTATGTATGTTTACATACATATGTTTGCATGTATACATTCATGCATGTATGTGTACATGCATGTATGTAGGTATTTATGTATGTATGTATGCATGTATGCATGCATGCATGCATGCACATATGTATGTATATATGCATGTGTGTATGTATGTATGTATGTATGCATGTATGTATGTATGTATGTACGTACGTACGTACGCATGTATGTATGTATGCATGCATGTATGTATGTATGTATGTATGTATGTATGTATGCATACATGTATGCATGTATGTATGTATGTATATATGTATACATGCATGCATGCATGCATGCATGCATGCATGCATACATGCATGTATGCATGCATGTATGTATGTATGTATGTATGTATGTATGTATGTTTGTATGTATGTATGTGTGTATTCATACATATATCGAATTTCCAGCCAACCAGTGGTGTTGTGTCCTCGTTTTGAAAAGACGGTCCCCGCGTTCTCCTTCTCCTTCCTCCCTCTTCCTCCCCCTCCTCCCTCCTCCCCCTCCTCTTTCCTCCCTGCGTTTCACCGGCCCACTACAGCGTTTCGCGGCCCCATAGGAATTCCACTGAAGGCCCTAGTGGCAGGGTTCGCATGGCGGCCTCGGGCCATTTCGGCACACCCATCACGGGGATCGTGGCCCCATAGGAGCTCCACCGAAGGCTCCAGTGGCAGGGTTCGCATGGCGGCCTCGGGCCATTTCGGAATTCTCGTCACGAGGATCGTGGCCCCGCGGGGAGCTCCACCGAAGACTCCAGTGGCAGGGTTCGCATGGCGGCCTCGGGCCATGTCGGCACACTCGTCACGAGGATCGTGGCCCCATGGGAGCTCCACTGAAAGCGCCGTCGCATGGCGGCTTCGGGCATTTCGGCACACCATTCACGAGGATCGGGGCCCCATATGAGCTCCACCGAGGGCGTTGCTGGCAGGGTTCGCGTGGCCGCCTCGGGTCATTTCGGCGCGCCCCTCGCGAGGATCGTGGCCCCATAGTTGTGCTGCTTCAACAACCGCGCCTGGGCGTCGTACTCCGCCTTGTCGGCGTGCAACGCCACCTCCCCCATCATGGTTCTCAAAGGGCGCCGTCTTCGTCGTGGTCGGCGCCCGCGAAGACGGCCATGAACGTGTCCCTAAGCATGTCGGGCTCCGGCGGGAAGGCGTGGCCACATAGGGGGTGCGGGCGAAGATGGTATTCACAATTGCGGTATTCACAACTGCATATGGTTGGGTCTTTCCCCAAGCTAAGCGTTTTCGGCCTATCCCGCTACCGTGCTTGGGTTCTGGGGCAGACTTCTCGGGGATTTTTTGTTGGGTCCCTTCGGAATGCCTTCGGGTCCTTTTGGTCGGAGTTTTTGCGGCCTTTTTGCGGCCTTTTGGGGGCCTTTCGGGGGCCTCTTGGGGGCCTCTTGGGGCCTCTTGGGGGCTTCTTGGGGGCTCCCTGAGGACCGAAAGCCCGACATGTCCGCTCGGGTTCCCCATATGGGCTCTGTCTTGGAATCGTTTTTGGGCCCTCATGGGCCGTCTTGGGCGCCTCTTGGGCCGTCGTGGGGCCCTCTGGGGGCGTCTTGGGGCCCTCTCGGGGACCTTTGGGGCCGCCTTGGGGCGATCTTGGGGGCTTCTCGGGTCGTCTTGGGGCGTCGGGACTCCGAAAAGCGAAACCGCCCAAATCCATCCAACACCGAGGGGCCAGCAGTGATGTTGAAATGGCCTCCGGCCAGTGCCGCCGATCCGGGGCGCTTCGGATGATGGTGATGATGGCGATGATGATTGCGATGATGATGATGATGCTGATGATGATGATGTTGATGATGATGATGGTGGTGGTGATGATGATGACGATGACGACGATGACGGCGATGACAATGACGATGGCGATGACGGTGACGATGACGATGATTATGATGATGATGATGACGATGGTGCTGATGATGATGCTGCTGATGATGGTGATAATGGTGATTATGATGATTATGATGACGACGGTGATGATGGTGATGATGATGATGATGATGATGATTATGGTGTTGGTGTTGGTGGTGGCGATGCTGATGATGACGATGTTGCTGATGTTGATGCTGATGCTGATGACGATGATGCTGCTGATGAAGATGATGATGATGAGGAGGAGGATGACGCTGATGATGATGATGATGATTTTGATCATGGCACTGACCATGATGTCGATCATGATGATGGTGATGGTGATGGGGATGCTGATGCTTCGTCTTGGGGGCCTCCTGGGCCTGCGTAAGCCCTTCTTAGGCAGTCTTGGAGCCTTTTTGAGGGCCCCTGTAGCCGTTTTGGACACTGGGGGGTCCTTGGGGGCCAGTTGGGGCCTTTGGGGGCCTCTTGGGGGCGTCTTGGGGCCTCCTGGGGGCCTCCTGGGCCGTCTTGGGCCCTTCTTCGGCCGTCTTGGAGCCCTTTTGGGCGCCTCTTGGGCCCGTGTTGGAGCCCTCTTGCGCCGTCTTGGGGGCCTCCTGGGCCTGCGTAAGCCCTTCTTAGGCCGTCTTGGAGCCTTTTTGAGGGCCCCTTGAGCCGTGTTGGACACTGTGAAGGCCCAAGAGGCGAACATGCTAAACATGTAGGTTTTCCCAAGGGAAATCGACTTCCCATCCTTTCCATGTTGTAGATCTCCTCTTTATTCGCACAGGTTGATGTCGTAGCAGGGCATGACATTACATGGCATAAAGTGGTGTTGAGTATCAACGCGTAGCCTGGCATAGCATGGCGTTGCGACGGCCCAAAGTGTGGGGGGGCTTCTGCGGCTCAAAAAATCAGCGAATCGACGCCGAAATTGTAATCACATCCGATGGTTGTTTCGCATTTTTTGTGTTTTGAGATTTTGGGGCCTGTTTGGAAGGGTTGAACACCATGCTGTGGCTTGGCGCTGGAAATACTAACGCCAGCGCTGCAGCGGGAGCACGATTCGGACCGAGCGGAAGCGCGGAAATGAGCCAACGCTGCAGCAGGGGCATGCTGCGGAGGACGCCTAGCCTGACATAGCATGTCATGGCGACGCTCCAAATGGCGGGGGGGCTTCTGCGACCCGAGAAATCACTTAATCAACGCCGAATGTGAAATCATTTCCGATGTTTTTTTGGTTTTCCGGGGGGGAGGGGCATTTTAAAATTTTGTGATTTGTTGGAAGGACCGAGAACCATGCCGTGGCATCGCGCTGGAAATGCTGACGCCAGCGCTGCAGCGGGAGTACGATTCGGAACGAGCGGAAACGCGGAAATGAGGCCAACGATGCATCGGGACGATTCGGAACGAGCTTTAGCCCGAAAATGAGGCCAGCGCTTCAGCGAGAGCAGAATTTCGAAAAAAGTACCCAAGCGAAAGCCCTGCGTCGCCCTGGCCACGAGGTAGATGCCGCCCTTGTCCAGCAGCTCGTGGCCCAGCTCCTTCCCCTCCTCGAGCATTTCGAGCGATGCTGCCCAGACGCCGTTCGGGCCCGTCGCGCAGCTGTCAAAGGTGCACGCCGCCAGGCCACGCTTCTGACAAACCTCGGGTCGTCTTTGTTGGGGCACTCACGATGCCAGTGTCCCTTGTCCTTGCATATGCCGCAGCGGGTGATCTTCATCAGCTGCTCGGGCGAGAGACGTGGACGTCTCCGTCCGTCGCCTCGTCCGGCCCCCCTGCCGCGGTCGCCGCGCCCGCGGCCGCCGCCTCGACCGTCGCGTCGGTTTCGTCCTCCCGCTGGGCGCGGAGGGCGAGGGGCTGACCCTGCCGTTCCTGACCTCGGACGTGCTCCGAAGCATTCTCGATCACGTTTGGCTGCTCGTTTGATGTCTTTGTTCTGCTTCCAGGTCCTCGTGTTGGACCCAGACTCAACGATAGCCAGCGCCCCGGTGACCGGAGTCTCGTCCAGGTCAAGGTCCTCCAGCTCTGCAAGTAGAACTGCCTCGTCCTGCTCGTCATCGTCGTGGGAGTCGTCGTAGTCGCCGTCGTCCTCTTCGAGACCCTCGGACTCACCAACCGAGTAATTACGAGGGACAGGGGAGGAGACTGTCGAGGGCGCCGTGCTCTTCGGCCTCGGTGCCTGCTGCAAGCGACGTGCTGGCCGGCCGAGGTGGAGGGAGCCTCTCAGAGCCTGTGCCTGGACGCCCGAAATGGGCGCGGAAAGAATGGGTACGATGCCCAACAGCAGTTCTTGTTCATTCTGAACAGGACTCGCTGTCCGCGCCGCCGCGGCCTGTGTCCATTCGAGACAGGAGGTCGCCCGCCCAACAGCGGCCGCTGTTGGTTTGGGACAACATTTGCTGTTGGGCATTGTGCCCATTCTTTCCGTACCCATTTCGGGCGTCCAAACTGTGGCATCCACCTGCCGAAGGGCCCAACTCGTGTCCTGGAAGTCGAGCTTGCCGCGGGTGAGGGCGCAGAGACTCTGCACCCCCTGCGCGGTGAGTCCTGTGCCCTCCTCCAGCAGCAGTCCTTTCATCTTCGGAGAGAGCCGGAGATCGTTCGTCCCCGCCTCCTGGAACAGTGCCTCGCGTCGCCCGACAAGCTGCGTCCAGCAACTCCCTGTCCTCACGGGCTGCCTCGAAGAGTG